TTCCATACTGTGTGACAGAATTTCAGAGCAGCCACAGACAGCTTGAGACCAAGGGTCACTGCCATAGTCTGCTTCGGTTGTCAACTTGACACTCTTGGAAGAGGGACCCTTGACTGGGAAATCCCCTGCTGGATTTTTTTCAGAGCATGTCTATGGGTCATCTTCCTAATTGTTAACTGACGTACGAGGGCCCAGCCTACTGAGGGCATAGGGGTAGCTGAGCAGGGCAGGGGAGCAGATCCGCAGCAGTCTTCCTCCGTGGTCTCTGCTTCAGCTCCTGCCTCAGATTCCTGCCCTGACATCTCTCAATGAACTACAACCGTTAAGACAACAACCTCTCCTCCACAAGATGCTCTTGGTCATGATGTTTACCACGGCAACAGGAAACAAACTCAACTAGGGTAGTCACAGCCGCACGGCAGAGCACATGGGCAAAGTCAGAGCAACACCACCAGTCCATCTCCTGGTGTACACACATTAACCAAGGCGTGAGCCACACACAAGACCAAGCATGCTACTGCAGGAGCAGCTCACAGCTCTACAGAGCTGTCTTCCTCAGTGCGATTTAAAGAGACTGGCCCTGACATCACAAGCAGAAAGGGACATGAATAGCCTTGGCCTGAGAAGAAAATGCATTACGTAGCAAAAGGAAACCATATCGCAACCTTCCCTCAGATAGCGAAATTACAATACAACCACAATCCACGGTCTGCCGTGGTCAACAGTTAAGGGCACTGACTGCTCTTCCAGAGGACGATTCCCAGAACCTCATGGCAGTTGACGACTTTCCAGTCCCAAGAGACCTGATGCCCCGCCGTACCTACACAGGCACCGTGAACTCAGACGGAACACGGACATATATGTAGGCAATAAACCCATACATATACAAAATAAATGAAAAAGAAAAGAAAGCTCAGAGCCTGATCTAACAAGAATCTCTAAATGGGTAGGAAGCAGGAAGCAGAGAAAGTTTTAAATGTTTTCCACACTACTGTCATCCAGTGTGGGGGTCAAAACCATTCCTGAAGTCAGGCCAGCCACACATCCTCACTAAGGAAGGCAACTCGGAGTCAAGTTAAAAGTAGAACACAGAAAAGAGAACATTATTCAACGGGGCCACACTGGGAAGAGGGGCAAAGACTAAACAGAGGGCCCAGGAAAGGACAGCTCGGCAGTGCTGGTCAAGGTGTGGCTCCGCCCACCGCTCACCCCTGGGCTCCAGTCTGTCCGTCAGGTGGTCTGAGGAGTTGTCAGAACTATGAAATCTGTTTCTAGAGCACAAGTAGCTCATTTTTCCTCCTCTCAGCATGAACTTTCAGGGAAAATCTCATTTCTTCGGGGCCCATTACTTCACCAGTCTCAGTCAGACTAAGACATGAGAGTCTCTTGAAAATGTCACCTGCCAGGCAGGCTACACTGCCTGTAAGACACAGGCACTGAGCGAGCAAGGAGTCACTTTCCAGTTCTACCACAGACGCAGATCCGACCAGCGAATCTTGTGCTTTTTACCGCCACGTGAAAAACGTGCAAACCGCACTCAAGAAAATACACAAAGAAATGTGTATGCTCGGGTCTTGAGCCCTCGAGAGGCCTAACACAGATCCCCCTGGGAGAGCAGGGCTAGTGGAGAGAGGAAGGGGATTAATAGGATGACCAATTTGCTGTCCTAGGCTTTCCTGGCCAGGAGAATGGAGAATGGAAAGACTGAACCATGAAATCAAAAAAGCATCTGTCTTCCAGGTTCCCCTCTGCCAAGGTCTTGGGAGGAATGTTTGAGCTTTCCTGTTGGCTTTGTATGCAAATAGCTCCAGATGCAGAGGAACCGCATCTAAGTTGCTCCCTCAGCATCTGCTGGTCCAATTCCCATCATTACTTCTGCAGGGCCGGCTTGTGACAGACAGTTTAGTCTGCCCTCTTTATAAGCTGTTTTGAAGGAGCTAATTTGGATTAAAGTATCTATCTGGACCACTTGTTTTCCCTTTGATGGTCACTGAATTCTAATGTGGTCTGTGAGAGCGGCAAGGAACTCGGAGGCATTATTGGGGAGGACAGTGCTCAAGGTTTGTGCCTCCCACCTCGCCTTCTACACAACTTACATTTGTACGGTCAAAGGCAAAAAGTGAACAGTCTCTTTTTTTTTCTTTGCCTTTTAAAACTGTGCCACCCACATTGTACAAAATGGCTTTGTAACACGTCCTGACCCAGCACTCACTGTAGGCAGCTACTAACAAGGACTTGAAGCTCACATTGGGGGCAGAAGGTCTGCCAACCCCCCCCCCCCCCAAAAAAAAGCATCTGGGGAAAGCTCCATCCTCCTAGCAACAACTTCCAGTCCGCAACTCACAGACCTGGGTGCCCGGCGCTGCAAGCGCCTTCTGCATCTACGGCAGAGGAGTGAGTCCACAGTGAACACGGAAATAACCTCAATAAATTCCATGAATTCTAAAACTCTGGCTCTGCTACCAGGAGAGGCACAATTTAAAAAAAAAAACAATCAAAGAGAAAGGAAGGAAGGAAGGAAGGAAGGAAGGAAGGAAGGCAGGCATACAGATGCCTAACGAAGTATTAAGAACTGACAAAGTCAAGTACAGATGAACAGATGAGCCCTTCTTTCTGTCTCAAGAGCACAGGGGAGAGGCAGAAGGGAAGGGAAGGGCAGAAGGGAAGGGAGGGGCAAGCATAAGTGGCACAGGGGTAAAGCAGGTGCAGGGAAGACATCACCACAGGGGGCAGTTGAGGGAGACTCCAATCCCAGGGTCTCCACAGGGAAGACATCACCACAGGGAGCAGTCGAGGGAGACTCCAATCCCAGGGTATCCACATATATACAAGCTTTCACACTCACATGTGTGTGTTCACCTGCACATGTCTATCAGCAGACAAACATTAATTTCAGGGAAATAAAAGGAGAACAGCATTCCTTTCATAGACATTATAAAAAAATAATTATTTTTTAATTTCATAAAACAAGATTTCTTAGCAAAAAAAATTTACTTATCTAAAACTCATGGCCACTTTGAATGTTGTTATAATATCCAGCACGTGAGTCCTGAACGGTTTTCCAGAAGCCCAGGACCCAGATGCAGCCACCATTGCTCCTGAACCTGCACTGAACTACACTGTGCTCTAACGTGCAGGAAATCCATCTCTGTCATACAGAGAAACCAGGGAGACATGAGAGAAGCTCGGTGCTTCTGAGCATCCGTGGCCACTCATCGTGAATGTGTGCATGCGGACGGCGTGTCTGCCATGGCACTCACGGGAGTCGGGACACTGCACGCACTGGTCCTGTTTTTACCAGGGCTCCGGAGGTGGAACTCAGCTGTCAGGGAATGGGTGTTTTACTCGTTGATCCGGGTCACAGCCCCGTGACTACTCCTATCAATCACCACTTCCAGGTCATGCATCTGAACTGAACGTCCTCAGAACACTTACCTCAGAAACACACACATCCAGCTCTTAGCAATTACTGAAGGTTTCCAAGGCTGATATATTTTTGAAGCAAAGTTGAGTTTTCTGCTCTTATATCTTATCATTAAGACTACTTAATTATTCACCTTGGACTGAAAATAACCAAGAAGAGAGAACTGCAGTAAATCTACTCAGCAGTCATCAAGAATCACAGAGCATTGGCTCAAGGTATCACTACCTTAGTGGTTCGAATTCCAAAAGATTCAAACCTATTTCCTGCCCTAAAAAGACTATAATAGGCATGTAAAGATGTCACACATGAGATCACAGTTTAAAATCACCTAACAACTATCCTCACGGTATCACCATTCAAAATAGCCAAAGGCAAAAGGAACCCAAGTGTCCATAAAAATAAATAAAAACTGGGATATTAGGATTAAAGAAAAGGAAACTGGGGCAGATGGTGAACAAGAATGAAACTTGAGGGCACTGTACTGATTGGGATAAGCCAGGCACAGCAATCAGCCTGAGTGATTGCCCACGAACACACCTACAGGCTTCACAGGGAGAGACCATGCACGGCAGTGGTTTTCAGGAATGAAGGGGAAGGGAGAGGGAAGGTCACCGGTGTCAGCTGTACAAGACACAGTACTAACCTATTCATTAGGATAAGAAAGATAGCAAGCTTCATCACCACTTTCAAATACGAATTAGAATGCACCAAGCACCAAGCAGGAGGAACAAGATGGCAAACTGAATCACCATTTTCAAATATGAATTAGGATACACCAAGCACAGAGCAGGAGGAACAAAATGGCATTATGACGGTGCTTCAGGTATCAAAACAGAACTAGAAAATGGTCCCAAGGAAGGTAGCATTTCCCCCTTGGCCAGCTCTCCCTGGAACGACAGCAATGCTGTGGGCTGCACTCTGATCTTCAGGCAAGCTTGGTTAGATAACGAACAAACATCGCAACATCCCACCACTGTTTTCTAGACCATAAACACGCTGACAGTATTCCTCCTCCCTCGTGCCCCTCCAGCATCTCCATCATCGTTTTCTGAGGATGAGCATTCATTCTGACAGTGTAAGATGGGGTCCCAGAGTAAATTTGATGTGCATCTCAAGATGGGTAGGATAGCGAACATTTTTTGAAAATATTTGTTGGTCGACTGTTATTTTTAACTTGTAGTACTCGTGAATGCTTCACTATAAAGAAACTGTTGTATATGATCAGCAATGGGCATCACGAAGTGAGACCAAAATGGGGCCTGTCATGCACAGATGGCCCAGGGAGCATCTTGACACCTTCCTATACCAAGGTAAAATTGAGCGATGTGTGTTGTAAGATTCAGTGCTCCTCATCCCCTTTTACAGCCAGCCTCCAGGTAGCACATACTGTACAATGCAATTCAGACTTTGAGAAAAAGAAAATTTGGATTCAGAGTAAGTCTAGGACACTGTATTTTTCAGATCAAAAAAACAAAAACAAAAACAAAAGAAACCCTTGAGAAATGGGTTTTAAAAACAGCAAAAATCACTTTAAATAGAGGAAAAAAAGAATCCAGTGACCAGGAGGTAGTAGTACCTGCAGGAAAGGTGGCCCAGGGGACAGCAGGGGACATTGCTTGGTTTCCACTGTGTTCACCATCAAAGGTTTCTGCAGCCTGCAAGACAAGACCAGACCACCTGAAAAGACCTAAAGGGCTGTACTTTCTATCAGCAGTCACACACCCGCCCCACAGGCATGCTTCTGCCACAGGCCACTCACTCACACTCTCTCTGAACACCCACTGCCACAACCTCCCTACTCTTCCCCTGCACTATCCCCACTGACAGGTCCCAGGTAAATGGCCCCCTTATCCCAACAACCTCCTGTCAATGTCATGTTCATTTCATGTATCTTTCATGATGTCTTCACTGTGATCCTTCCATCACCTATTCTGATTTAACTCACCACATTTATCCATCCACGTAAAAATTTCCTCAAAAACAGACTGAGCAAATCTTTGATGTAAAATGATCTTTATAATTAGCATACAACTTAGAGGCCAACCTGAAAGAGCAGTGAGCCTGTCTTCTTGAACAATCTACTCGGGTCTCTCAGGCATTAAACACTAGGGAAAGACAAAAGCCAGCATCTTCAATGAATGGCTCACAAGGCTCACAGCGAGAGCACCAAGGTTTCCTTCTCTCAGGTAACTATTAAGCAAGATTATTACTGAAATCAGAGTCACGATTTCATCATTTTAATTCCCATTCTGCACTGAGTGCCAGGCAAATCAGAAGTCAAAGGACACAGGCTGCGGGGGATAGAGGATATAGCTGTGCTGTCCACTAGCTGTGAAAATGAGAAGACCTTCCTCTCTTCCACAGCGGAACTGCAGAGTGAGCATGTCTGGTGAACACATGAAACTGCCCGTTAACGACGGGTCTCGTGTCCACAAGACTGACAAACCAAAGGGACAATGAGTTCAATTGTCACTTGCGAAAGAAACAACCAACTTTGGCTTTTCTATGGATCTCTTATGGTTTAGACACATGGATATGGTCGGATGGGACCCTTAAATATAGCTTCCAAGCACCACGGCAGCCATGCAATAGCATGAAACACACCTTGTCCTCTATCAATGGAAAACTAACAAATTGTAAACGTTCCATTTAACATAAATTAGAGTCAACACACAAACTATTAAAACAAGAGCATGACACATTCAGGTGATATTTTTAAAAACCAGTTTGGGATGAAACATGGAATGAATGTATGTCTACACTGCCTGCACATACAAAACACATTTCTACACGGGCTGCCTAGATAGGGAGAACATGTGTGTCTACAGCAGCTGTCTGCACATGGAGAACATGTGTGTCTACAGCAGCTGTCTGCACATGGAGAACATGTGTGTCTACAGCAGCTGTCTGCACATGGAGAACATGTGTGTCTACAGCAGCTGTCTGCACATGGAGAACATGTGTGTCTACAGCAGCTGTCTGCACATGGAGAACATGTGTGTCTACAGCAGCTGTCTGCACATGGAGAACATGTGTGTCTGTAGTAGTTGTCTGCACATGGAGAACATGTGTGTCTACAGCAGCTGTCTGCACATGGAGAACATGTGTGTCTGTAGTAGTTGTCTGCACATGGAGAACATGTGTGTCTACAGCAGCTGTCTGCACATGGAGAACATGTGTGTCCACAGCAGCTGTCTGCACATGGAGAACATGTGTGTCTACAGCAGCTGTCTGCACATGGAGAACATGTGTGTCTACAGCAGCTGTCTGCACATGGAGAACATGTGTGTCTGTAGTAGTTGTCTGCACATGGAGAACATGTGTGTCTACAGCAGCTGTCTGCACATGGAGAACATGTGTGTCTGTAGTAGTTGTCTGCACATGGAGAACATGTGTGTCTACAGCAGCTGTCTGCACATGGAGAACATGTGTGTCCACAGCAGCTGTCTGCACATGGAGAACATGTGTGTCTGTAGTAGTTGTCTGCACATGGAGAACATGTGTGTCTGTAGTAGTAGCACATGGAGAACACGTGTGTCTACACTGCCTGCCTGCACAATGGCAGCTCTAAAAGGCAGAAGGAAAACAACTTCCTGCTGAAAAGAACCGCGTTATTCCTCCCAAGTAACCCGCGCTTCTCCCATTCACATTAATCACACTCCCTAACTCGTACAGTTCTCTTTTTACCATGTCCAAACTAGGTGAGCGACTTTAAAAAAGAGGAATAGAGAGTCCTCCTGTGGGAGGTTCTAAGACTTGAGCCCTGGCATTTGACTCTTTTTTTTTTTTTCCAAGACAGGGTTTCTCTGTAGCTTTGGAGCCTGTCCTGGAACTCCCTTTGTAGACCAGGCTGGCCTTGAACTCACAGAGATCTGCCTCCCTCTGCCTCTGGCATCTGACTCTTAATCCAGAGATTTTCCTACAAGACTATACTGGCTCTGTAAAAATAACTGGGTTATAAACTATTCCAATAAAATGAACACACACTGAAAAGGACCAAGAAAAAGACACTACATTTTCAGCTGACAGCGCCAACTTAATAAACGTCCCCAAAACCTGAGAGAGCAACCTTGAGGCACAGCACCGACCAGCAACCCTGGAGGTCCGTGTGTCTCACACAGGGCATCCTCGCTCCATCACTGCAGACGGGGAGCAGGGCTATAGTAGTCGGGCTCTCACTGGACTGACAGCTGTGTCCCCATCCTCTGCTGGAGGCCTGGGCACTTCCTGATGCCTCCCTAGCCACATTAATTACCCCGATTTACACCACGGCAAGATTACTGCTTCAGGAAGAACCCATCTCAGTGTCTGGGGGCTGACTCCTCTTCATTTTCCTTGACTCCAACCTCTGTTTCAGAGTGAGTAGGAGTAGATCATGAAGGTAGGGACAATAGCTCAGTTTACCAACTGTCTGCCTTACAGGACCACTGGGCATGGTGCCATGCATCTGTAATCCCAAGTGCTAGGAAAGTCGACCCTGAGGCTAGCCAGCCAGCATAGCCTACTGGACAAGTTCCAGGCCAGTGAAAGACCCTGTCTTTAAAATATATAGTGGACAGGACCAAAGAGGAGACCCACGTGGTCGTGCTCTGGGCTGCAGGCACTCGCGTGGCCCACGCAGCAGCCACACACACAGAGAACAGACCAGGAAACAATGGGCACAAACACGTTTCTGTGGCGGGTTACGTCACCTGGAGCCAAACAGACGTGTTATACACACCTCAAAGCCGCCGAAGTCGTCATCGTCCATGCTTCCCGCGGCACCTGAACACAGCAACGGAGATGAGCACAGCGTGGAGCACACCTGGGACCTACAGGAACACACACTCCTGAGCTGTGTCGTGTGGATCATGAAAGGCTTTCCTAAACTCTATGGGTGTGTTTCTTAATCACGTAAAAAAAAAAAAAAAAAAAAACAAAAAAACAAAAAAAAAAACTGGCAATTGGCTTTTACTTTCTGGCAAAATTAGCAATTTCTGGAACCTTTTCAGTAACCATGCATTTTGCCATTTTCTGTTGAGACTCCAGGAGTGGAAAAATATTCTTTTACATTTTAATTTGCTTTTCCCAAAGTGGCACTAGGCCCCCTCGGTAATGCTTCCTGCTTTCCAAATCTACTCCTCAGCTGTCTGGCAGCATCAGCACAAACTCCAGTTAAGAGCAGGACTGTGGTGAATTTTTGGAAATCTGTCCCCACCACAAAGGTTCTTCCCTCGGTTTCATGGCCGGGCTGAGTTAGATTTTCAAAATTGATCAGCATTTTTGAGCTGTGACCACAACTTCTGGAGCATTTGATATGTGTATTTTTAGCTGAAACTGCTTTGCACTTCTGGAAAAATGTGGAGCAAGTTACTGGCTGGTCAAGGTAAATCAAGTCGTGTGTTCACGAGACAAGGCAGAAAACAGGAGAATACCCTGGATCCTTCACACCTTCACTCGGGAGGCAGGGAAGAGAAACTGCAGCAAAGTCTGTACTGTGCTTCTTCCTAAGAACATTACAGAAGGGTCAAGGGTCCAGGCCTAGCACCTAGGCTCTGGCTCACAGCAGGAAGAAGAAAGCCTGAATCCTACCTAGTTAAATGCTCTCTCCCTACAACTGAGAACAGGAAGGCAGACAGGGCTTTGGCTCCATCCAGGGGGCCAGCAGCCATGCTGGGCTTCTTGAGAAATGCTTACCAACTACTCCATCAAGAAAACTCTACCCACTTCAAAAAGTCACAACAAAGAAATATGCTAATCACAGATTGTTTTCACTAAGTCAAGCAAATTCATTTCACAAAGAGTAGAAAACATAAAGAATGTTCGTGGACGGAAATAAGATAGTTTTATAAATGGCACTGAGTTCCTGGAACTGCTAACACAGTGGGGACAGCAATGCTGGCACCGTTGGCTCGAGGCCTCACAGTGCAGCGACATTTCCCAAAAGATGTGCTTTTATAAACTCAGAAACTAAAGCTACGCCAGCCATCTATAGGCAGCACCTAAAAGATACAGACCAGACTTCTAAGAACTGTCGATGGCAGTCAGTCTGAAATGACGTCATATTAATCATGTCTCAGCTGAGCAGGAGAAACTACAGGAGGAAACAACAGGCACCCTAATAACCAACAGTTAAACTACAAACACCACAGCCGCCCCTTCATGTGAGCACCAACCTCCAGAGCCAATTACAAATTAGCATCTGTGAACACTGAGCTCGGGTGCTCATTCTAAAGACTGGCATACTCGGAGTTAATACTCCTGTGTTGGCACATCCTGACACAGGATGTGACGGGAAGGGTGCCAGGGAGCCGACAACACAAGCATTGAGAGTGTTCGCCTGTGAAGGGGGCAGATTCCTAAATTCTGATTGAGCTGCGCAACACAGCAGAATGGTGACCACTTACGCTCTGGGTTCCAGCAACTCCTACACACCGGATGAGACAAGACAGGGTTCCTCTTCTATACTGTCAAACAAGTAGTCACGTATTTTATTTATCAGTAAATAAATGTGTTCTAGACAGCTTAAGGTACGGCGCTACAAAGACGCTATTTTAAAGTCATAGCCTTTCTCCAAATAATTTGGATTCAAACCCTACGACAGTTTCCTTTTGAATATGTAAGAGAAGGAAGACAACAGATGCTCTTTGCTGCTGATTGTGTGTGTGTGTGTGTGTGTGTGTGTGTGTGTTTTAGAAACAGGGTCTCACTATGTAGCCCTAACTGGCCTGGAACTTGCTTTGCAGACCAGGCTGTCTTCAGATTCAGAGCTCTGCCTGCCTCTGCCTCCTGAGTGCTGGGATTAAAGGTGTGAGCCACCATGCCTGGCCTCAACAGCACTGGCTTTAAAAACTCACTTTTACAGGGGTCGGAGAAACAGCTAAATAGGTAAGGTATTTGCCACACAAGTATATGCACCATGGTTTAGGTTCCTAGAATTCACAGAAAAACAAAACAGATGTGAAAGTCCTGTTCTCAGCACTTGGGAGGCACAGACAGGGAACCCTGGAGCGAGGTGGCCACTAGAATAGCCTGAATTGTCCAGCTCTGGCTTCTGCAAGAGAGCCTGCCTCAAAAATTAGTGATTAAAAAGTTTTTTTGTTTTTTTTTTTTTTTGGTTTTTTGAGACAGGGTTTCTCTGTAGCTTTGGAGCCTGTCCTAGAACTAGCTCTTATAGACCAGGCTGGTCTCGAACTCAAAGAGATCCGCCTGCCTCTGCCTCCAGAGTGCTGGGATTACAGGCATGTGCCACCACTGCCCGGCTTAAGAAATAATTTCTAGGGAGGAAATGGGAGGAAATAGTAGAGGCTCTTTGTGGATTCTGTCACGAGCCTTGGTTTTAGCTACGCATACAGTGAGAAGGCTTTGTAAAGCACTTTGGAGATTTCGGGTTGTCGCCATCAGAACAGCAGGGAGCCCCGGGACACCTACATCACTGAGTGAGGAGACTCTAAGTCAAAGCTACGACAGTTAGTTCAGGGACCAAGACTAAAGGTCTTTATAATATCTAGGTTCAACAATCTCAGAACTCACTATATGCAAATATATGCAAATTAACCTTGCCTGTTGCTTTATTTAATCCCCCATTCTGCCATCCTCAGTATTTAATAGACTGATGGTACTTTTAAAGAATGGCGTGAGGAAAACAGACCAGAAAGTAAAACTTGTACACGGGCGGCATAACACCCTCTGGAGCCGCCCCACAGATGTCAGCCGAGGTCCCTGAGAAGCTGGTGTGGTGTGGAAGAAGGCACAGGTCCAATGAAAGGCACCATAAACAAGAGAGAAAACGGCCCAGGGTTGGGGAGATGACTTCAGAGGGGATCTATCTAGCTGAGAATATATCAGGGGACCTCTAAGACAGAAGGGACTGGACAGAGATTTTAAATAGAACATTTAAAAACTACATTTTATCCAAGTTTCCACTGAAAAATCTTCTTTAAAAATGACAAAAAAAATTGCTACATAAGAAAAAAATCATATGATCATTTCATTAGATGCTGAAAAAGCTTTTGACAAAATTCAACATCCCTTTATGATAAAAGTCTTGGAGAGATTAGGGATACGAGGGTCATACCTAAATATGATAAAAGCTATTTACAGCAAACTGACAGCTAACATCAAACTAAATGGAGAGAAACTCAAAGCCATCCCACTAAAATCAGGAACACGGCAAGGCTGTCCACTCTCTCCATACCTCTTCAACATAGTGCTTGAAGTTTTAGCAATTGCAATAAGACAACATCAGGGGAATCAAGGGGATTCGAATTGGGAAGGAAGAGGTTAAACTTTCATTATTTGCAGATGATATGATAGTGTACATAAGCGACCCCAAAAACTCCACCAAAGAACTCCTAAAGCTGATAAACAGCTTTAGTAATATGGCAGGATACAAGATCAACTCCAAAAAATCAGTCGCCCTTCTGTACACAAAGGATATGGAAACAGAGAGGGAAATCAGAGAAGCATCACCTTTCACGATAGCCACAAATAGCATAAAATATCTTGGGGTAACTCTAACCAAGGAAGTGAAAGATCTATTTGACAAGAACTTTAAGGCATTGAAGAAAGAAATTGAAGAGGATACCAGAAAGTGGAAAGATCTCCCTTGCTCTTGGATTGGGAGGATCAACATAGTAAAAATGGCAATTCTACCAAAGGCAATTTATAGATTCAATGGAATCCCCATCAAGGTCCCATCAAAATTCTTCACAGATCTTGAGGGGACAATAATCAACTTTATATGGAAAAACAAAAAACCCAGGATAGCCAAAACAGTCTTATATAATAGAGGAACTTCTGGAGGCATTACCATCCCTGACTTCAAACTCTATTACAGAGCTACAATATTGAAAACAGCTTGGTATTGGTATAAAAACAGAGAAGTCGACTAATGGAATCGTATAGAAGACCCAGATTTTAACCCACAAACCTATGAACACCTCATTTTTGATAAAGGAGCTAAAAGTATACAATGGAAGAAAGAAAGCATCTTCAACAAATGGTGCTGGCACAACTGGATGTCAACCTGTAGAAGAATGAAAATTGACCCATATCTATCTCTATGCACAAAACTCAAGTCCAAATGGATCAAAGACCTCAATATCAGTCCAAGAACACTGAACCTGATAGAAGAGAAATTGGGAGCTGTAGTAATAGGGGCGGCAGGGCTGCGTTCTCAGCACCCCTGGCCGCCTGCCCGGCTAGCTTATGCCCAAAATAATTACACAGACACTGTATTCTTTTAATCACTGCTTGGCCCTTTAGCCCTAGCCCTTACTGGCTAATCCTGTTATCCCGATCAACCCATCTCTAATAATCTCTGAGAACCGGTCTTACTGGGAAGATTCTAGCCTAGTCCATCCTGGGTCGGAGCTTCATAGCGTGCGTCTGCCCAGGAGCCAGGAGCATGGCGTCTCTCTCTGAGGCGTCTGCTCCCGAGAGAGCTGTGGAGTCTCTGACCTCACTTCCTCTTCCTCCCAGTGTTCTGTTCTGTTTACTCCACCTACCTATGTCCTAACCAATAAAATGGGCCAGGGCAGTTTCTTTATTAGCCAATGACCTTCCTCCATCAGGGAGCTACCCTACAACAGATGGGCACAGGAGATCACTTCCTAGGTATAACCCCAGAAGCACAGACATTAAGGGCAACATTGAATAAATGGGACCTACTTAAACTGAGAAGCTTCTGTAAAGCAAAGGACACTGTCACTAGGACAAAAAGGCAACCCACTGACTGGGAGAAGATCTTCACCAACCCTGCAACAGACA